GCTGCTACAAATCTGCTGCTGCTGCTACTGCTACTACAGATCTGCTGCTGCTGCTACAAATCTGCTACTGCTGCTGCTACAAATCTGCTGCTGCTACAAATCTGCTGCTACTGCTGCTACAGATTTGCTGCTGCTGCTAGAGATCTGCTATTGAAACTGCTGTCGATCTGCTGCTGGAGCCTGGAGTTGCTGTCAATCTGCTGCTGAAGCCTAGAGTTGCTGTCGAAGCTGCAGTATCCCATCATCCTCACTCACTATATGTTTGATGCACACCTCATTAATTTTTACTTATTTTTTATGTAAAAAATATGTATTTTGATGTTAATTGGCGAGGAATGGGGATCCCCGCGGGAATCCCCGTTCCCTGCAGGGAATGGGGATGGGGGGCAAAATTTGCCCCTCGTCAAAAATCCCCTCGGGGATCCCCGTCCCCGTCATTTGCGGGGACGAGGATGGGGAAGGAGTCCCCGACCCCGCGGGGCCCCGTTGACATCCCTACCTGTGACCCTAGCACTTGGTTAAGCCTTCTGTCCTGTGCGATTAAGGTAAGTAAATTATGGTAATGCTCTTAAATTTTAAAGCATATTTTAACTTGTTTTTGAGATGGTGGCAAGGTTTAAATGGGTTTATTTGCATTTGAGCATGATTAAATGGAAATTGAACGTTTATCATTTTCCTTATTTTCTAGAATTGAGCATGCCTACATGAAATTTCTTCAATTTATTCTTGAAAGTGAGAATGATTGTGAATCGTGGAATTTTTTGTAAATCTTGCTTGGTTTTGTCTCCGATATGGTCATGTTATTCGTGTGCCCGCTAGTGGGAGGTTTATAAACGCTAGCACATGTCGACATGTTTACTGATAGAACCGGTTCGCTCATGTTATCCTGCTAGTGGGATTATACACTAGTAATCGTGTGTCTGCCAGTGGGAGGTTTATAACACTGGTCATGACTAATAGAGGAGACCACTACTTAATTTTATTCTGCATTAATGGTTTATTATTGAGATGCTCTGCTTATGTTTAGATGGTTTATTTGGCATGCTTTAAATTTTGATCTCGAGCATCCATATTTACTTACTGAGATATTTTATCTCACAGTTTTCCTTGTCCACCATTTCAGGTAGTGAGACCTGACGCATAGGGAGCTCAAGGGAGTGACGAGCTAGAGGGCTAGGCACTATTTGGACTTAGGTTTTTTTTTTTTGTAGTTAGGCCGCTAGTCACCCATGTTGACTTAGAAATTTTTGTGCACAGAGCTCCCTTAGTTACAGTCATGATTGTATAAATGAGGTTATAAACCTTTGTACATTTTGACTAGTAAATATTTAGAAAAAAAAGGAAGGAAACTAGATATTACCCGAGTTTCTAAATCTGAATTAGTAATTATGAACTCAGTAAGTTTCAAGCCTTATGCATTTGTGGGACCCGTTCCCGAGTGCATGGCGTCTGTTTCGCTCTTGGTTTTGGGGCGTGACAGATTTTGTGGTATCAAAGCCTAGGTTTAATTAAGTGCCTAGGATTAGTCTAGAACTTGGCTAGCAAATGAATGATAGGAACGTGGTGAGGCATGAGAGTGGGGTTGATTAAAGGCGCTTGCTTGATTCTTTCCTTAATGTGTGTTGGTTTCCTTTGTTTTAATATTTTTGTGTTGCTTGGTCCCGGAAGTGGAAACTTGCCAGGAAATTTCTCGTTGGAGCATTTGATTAATAGTCTATAAACCTTCTATGTGATTATAGACGGCCCCAAAATGGCGTGGGCGCCCAAGGGGTGGTCGTAAGGATCAGGGCACTCCTCCGATCCCAGATGCTAGTCCCCCTGCCCAAGCTGCTCCACAAGAGGGAAGGACGAGTAATCCTCAGATAGCCACTTTTGTTCAGGAACTTATGGCAAAGATAAGACGCCAAGCATCTCCTACCACAAGTGTGCCACCTCCATCCCCAGTGGTTTCCACTCCTACGACCCCTGCTCCAATTTCCCCTGTTCCTATTTCTTTTGCTCTTGCGGTGTCTAGCTGGAAGGTCTATACAGAATTCCAGAAGCTGGTGACCAAGAGATTCGATGGTACCGCGGGTTTTGAGCAGGTGGGGTAGTGGATTACCGAGGTGAAGCGGGGATTCCGCCTACTGAAGATTGTTAACAACCTTAAGGTCGATATAGGCAGTTATATGCTTACTAGTGAAGCATTAACTTGGTGGGAGAATTATCTGAAGCTACACCAAGGAGAGCTTGAATTGAGCACCTGGGATGGCTTTAAAAAGGTGTTCATGCAAGAGTACATACCAGATAGCAAAAGGTGGGAACTGCAAAGGGAATTTTCAGATCTAAATTTAGGGTCGGGTACTGTTGAGCAATACAAGAAGGAGTTTGACCGCTATCTGCCTTTTGTGGGTAGTCAGGTTGGGGATGAGCTAGCCAAGGCTGATAAATTTTTATGGGGCTTGAATCGCGATATTTATCTAACAGTGAATCAATTCAAACCCGCCACTTATAGAGAGGCTGCGGACAGAGCCATAGATCAAGAAAAGGCTATGGCTAGAGTCAAGTCCTCAAGACAGCACAATGCTAGGTCATCCCTTGGGAAGAGAAAATTTGATGGGAGCCGTAGGTCCCTTGTCCTTGCACCACCTAAGTCTGAGGTCAACAAGGGTTCTAAAGGGCTAGGAGCCACCAAGATTGTGAGCTAGGCATCAACGGCCCAACGTGCTCGTCCTACTCAGCTTACTTGCCACGTTTGTGGGAAGGTTAGGCACACCCAAGATCAGTGCCACACCGTTACTGGGGCTTGCTTCAAATGTGGCAAGCAGGGACATCGGATTGCAAATTGTCCACTGCTAGACCCCAAAGCTCAGAGTACTCAACCTACCTCTCCGTAGAGTTCTACCAGTCAAGGGGCACAGAAACAGAGTACCGGGGTTAGGACAAAAGCCCAATAGGCAAGAGTGAAAGTGATGACTCACAAGGAAGCTGCGGCTACCGACGTAATCACAGGTACCTTACCTGTTAACTCTGATTATGCACATGTTTTATTTGATTCGGGTGCATCGCACTCCTTTATTGCCCGATCTTATGCTTTGAAACGAGCTTTGCCTATTGATACCTCTGATCTTAAACTGCATGTGGACACCCCTTTAGGAGGGGTGATGACTACTAGGGAGGTGTGTAGGACTGTGGATACTTACATGGATGGTAGACAGTTGAGTGCTAGCTTGTTTGTTTTAGATATCTCTGATTTTGATATCATTTTGGGGATGGATTGGTTGTCAAAACATTTTGCCTCTATAGATTGCCATCGGAAATGGGTAATTTTTAATATCCCTGGTGAGCCAGAATTTAGTTTCCAAGGCAGTGGTTCTTTTGCTCCACCCATGCTAATATCTGCCTTGCAGGCTCAAAAATATCTTGTAAATGGTTGCCAGGGTTTCCTAGTTTCCGTCACTGATGCTAGAAGTGTGACATCGAGACTAGAAGACATACCGGTGGTGCGTGAGTTTCCAAATGTATTTTCGAAGGATCTCCCAGGTTTACCTCCGGATAGGGAGCTTGAATTTGCTATTGACCTTGTTCCTGGCACCGGACCTTTTTCCAAAGCACCATACCGTATGGCTCCTGTAGAATTGGAGTTAAAGGTCCAGCTGGAGGAACTCCTTGAAAAAGGGTTTATACACCTTAGTGTGTCACCTTGGGGAGCTCCAGTGTTGTTCGTTAAGAAGAAGGATGGGAGCATGAGGCTATGCATTGATTACCGGGAATTGAATAAGGTGACTGTGAAGAACCGGTATCCCCTTCCTAGAATTGATGACTTGTTTGACCAGCTCAAGGGTGCCCAAGTATTTTCTAAGATTGATCTTTGATCTGGTTACCACCAGTTGAAGATTAAACCTGATGATGTGCCAAAGACTGCCTTCCGTACCCGTTATGGTCATTATGAATTCATACTCATGCCATTTGGCTTGACAAATGCCCCTGCCAGATTTATGGATTTGATGAATCGGGTGTTTAGTAAGTACCTAGATAAGTTTGTGGTTGTCTTCATTGATGACATCCTGATCTACTCTTCTAGCCATACTCTTCATGAAAAGCACTTAAGGACAGTCCTCGAGACATTGAGAAGTGAGAAGCTGTTTGCTAAATTTAAGAAGTGTGAATTTTGGCTAGACAATGTTGCATTCCTAAGTCACGTTGTCACTAAGGATGGAATCTCGGTTGATCCCCAG